GGAGGGAAGGCGAGGAAAGAAATGTCATGTCTGCTGAAGTGAGGAAAAACCGTAGCTGCTTGTAACCGCAGCAACTCCTGCAAACGCTCATGCCTGCCCCCTCCAAGCAGGCGTCATTAGTCACGATGGGGAAACGGAGCAAGATAAAAGGTGGCTGAGACAGTCATAAAAGACTTGTAAAAAATGTTTAAGATCTCAGCTCCTTTGAAGCCATTTTGGGCTCTGGTAAGTTGCTTTTTTTTAATGTGTTGTCTGGTAAGGTTTAGCTTAGTTTTCTGCTAGCAATACTTATTTTAATATACCATGTATCTTGGCCTGTAGGTCAAAGTCACCGCAGACATACAGAATTGTTTAATACTAGAAGACTTATCCAGCATTGCTGGCACGAGGCCGGAGGTGTGGGGGGAGGGGGTGCAGGACTCAGGACAGGGCCTTGGGGAGGTGGAGGGCTCAGGGCAGGAGGCTGAGGACATGGGAGGTGCAGGAGTCCGAGTCAGGGTTTGAGAAGGGGCTCTTGACAGGGGGCTGGAGATGTGTGTGTGTGGGGGGGGGGTGTTGGGAGAAGAGAGGCTCAGGGCAGAAGGTGGGTGTGGCTGCTGTCTTCTCCCCAAGGGCGGCCTAGGGCAGCAGGGACCACACACCCCACTCACTTTCTCCCTCCCCGCTGGTGCCTCTTGGGGCAGGGACTTTCTCCCCACTTACCCAGTCTGGAGGCAGGCGAGATGGCAAGCCCCAGCCCTTGGTGGTATGGCTGTCCCCAGTGGTCACTGCAATATAGCTCTCCTCTGCTGGTTCACTGCCTCCAGTAGCCACTGTGAGGATCGTGTCCCTCTGAACAGCGCCTCCCTTTCCATGCTATGGAAAACAGTTCCACTCTTGGAACATCTGGTTTTCCTGGCAGAACCAAATCCCAGCCTTGATTTAAGTTAGAATAAGAGGGAGCTGCATCCCAAATGTGGTGCCCCTAGCTCTTACCGTTTAAGAGGAGTTCTTGGACAGACTCAAGACAGACAGACACAAGTTTCTAAACCATGTACATAGCTAATACCCAAACTACGACATTAAACCCAGCACTGGGGAATGCCAACTTCTCCTCTCACATTATAGTGGGATCGGAGGAGGAGTTAGGACATTGTCTATATTGCAATCACAGGATTGCGACTGACACTGTGGGAGCAGCTTCAGGACTACCAACTGGAAGAGCCCATGTTCTGAAGAGTTCCGCCGAAGTTTTGAACTGGGAAAACTGGATAACGCTGATGAACATCATGGCCAAATCATCAGCTGGCCTGAACGGCAGAGGTCAACAGGGCTAGGTAATTTACACCTGCTGATGATCCATCCTATTGTTTTTAAAACTGCCTCT